GTTCTAGATGCTTTTTTTGAGAGCAAATAACTAACAGATAAATAAAATTTTTAGACTTAATTAAAATAATGTCATTCTTTGTATACAAGATTATACTTACAATATACTTGTATACTTATAATCTTTAACAAAATCTTACCAGTTTTTATGAGGATACGTTAAAAAAGCTCAAAGTTAATGTATGTTTGTTCCACACATATCCTTTCCCAGATGGGCTCATGTATTTTACATAATCCCACTGAGAAATGGTTAGTGTTTTTCGAATATTCATTACTTGCTAGCTATTAAAACTAAATAAAAAACAGCATAAGAACACACAGCATAAAAGAGCAGTTATATTGATAAAAAGAATCTGAATATAGAATTTTATATTTTGGGCCTAAAAAATTGAAGTTAAGGTTTGAAATTTAGCAATTTATTTAGTATATTTTATAACAAATAAAACTTCAGGAGCACAACATTTTCACTATTTTGATTTTAGCTTCAGTAGGGAGAAAGCAATAATATTTTAAAGGCTTATTGTCAAGCCTAAGAATGTATGTACACACACACATGTAATTTTTTTGTTATCAGTATTACATCAATTGCTTGATCTAAACTATATATCACTTGTAACCAATTCTGTCAAAAACTAAAGAACAATCAATTAAGTTACCCCATACCTCTTTCACCACCAAACTTCTTCCCTTGTATTCATACCTATGCAGTAAGTCAATGGCTTTCTGTGCGGCAGTTTCATCTTTCATTTCAACAATTCTGAAAGACAATTTTCAGTAGTAAACAAAATATTCATGAGATGTAATTTTAAAAGTCTATCAAATATATTACCTCTGCCAACCAGATGTAGCATTTCTTTGCCTGGCAACATTTAACAAAGAAAGGTGGTTAATGAAATAATGAGTTGGAACTTTATAACAGCTAAATAACACAGAGTATCTAAACTTATCTTTAAGATACCAGCAACAATAAATGACCAATACAGCTGCACTAGTGTATACAATCTTCAGTATAAAAACCACTTCTAAGCATACTTATTTTTGCACCCAAAAAAATTCTTTAACCCTTTTTCCATGAGCATCTTTTTCTGTGTATGTTACGAGGTTTTAGTGAGGTACATTCAAAATTTAATTAAATTACTTTCTTCTCATGATACACCAATATAGCATAAAAACATAGTTAATAATCCATATTTTAATAGTATACAAGTTTTAAGTTCTTACTTTTATAATGTGAGAATTGTGACATTTACTCTCTTGACAATTACTCTTCTCTAATTTATTTACCACCCCTCCAAGAAGTACAAAATTAAACATAAATTACTTAACATTATATTGTCATCACTCAGGCATCAGGCAAAGCATAATTTTCATAGCCTTCAATCTTATTTAGTTTCACAGCCATAAAATATACTAGCAGACCCCTCTTGCCATGCCCACCTGTCACATCCTTTCTTTCAAAAATTGACAATAGTTCTCTGATGTTCAATAATATTACTTATAACCAATAGAAAGCCAAGGTTTTAATCTGTCAAGTGACATACTATATTACATTATTTTCTGTAAAGAGAATAGTCAATGTCAAGATACATAATGTGTATTAAAAGTTATCGTCTGGTAACTATAACAAGTATAAAATGGTTACGAGGTTGGTAGATTTGACCAACTTTGTAGTGAGAGTTAAACTGTATTTAACAAATTATAGCAGAATTTTTGATATAGCTGTATTTAAATGTTAAGAGATATACAAACATTCTCTTTTTTCATCAGTTATAAAGTTTTGTATACTTAATTTGTTTTTGACCTCCTCTGACATCCTACAGATAACCCTTAGAATAATTTTTTTGAAGTATAAACAAATTCAATATTGCTGAAACTTTGCAATTCTTGTACAAGCTAAGAGAGCATTATTTCATAAATTATAACATACTGCTTTATTCAAACAAACAGGCTTCAATACTATAGAAACACATACTTTAAACTAAGACAGTATATACATGTACACTAAAATATACTTGGCTGTTCAAATATGTAGAAATTCTACCTTTTTCCCAACATACCACAACCATAAATTTGCTTTTAATAGCAAGAGATGTGCTGCCAAGAAAATCAACTGAATCAATCAGTATCACCAGTCAATCATGTTTCAAAAATTTCCTGTTATCACCTAAGTTCTTTATAAACAAACTTTAAAACAAATTACAGTGCAGTCAGAAATATCACAACCCACTCATATTCTATTCCTAAAATTCTACCCTGCAATGGCAAAATAGCCTTTAAAAATTTAGCTTAATTTGTTGATCTAGTCACAGCATAAGAAACTTTCAAACTAAAGATGAAATAGACAACATTCTGTACATAAAACAACATAATATATCATTTGGTAAATTGAAACATTGGCTTGCTATTGATTATAAATATATAGTATAAAACATCAAAGAGAGCTATTTGTAATTTCTGAAAGAGAGGATGTGACAAATGGGAATGGCGAGTGGGTCCAATATTCTATTTTATGACTCAAATAAGATAGAAGGCCATAAAAATTATGCTTTGCCTTTATAATATCTATACTATAATGAGTAATTTACATTAAATTCTGTAACTCTGAAAAGAGATAGTAAATAAATTAGAGAATAGGGAAGACTCAGAGAACAAATGTCATAATTTTCATACTAGGGGAGATTGAGGATTTTTTTCCATATTTACTTACAAAATTAATTACTTAAACTTTATATTTTCTTAAAATTTAATTTATGAACTATGTTTTGATGCTAAATTTATTTGTATAAAATGATAATAAAGTAGTTTAATTATATTTTGAATGTAACTCTCTAGAAATTTGTGAAATGCATGCTTTGACCTACCCATAGCAAGAGGGTTAAACTACTTCATTATCAATGTATACAAACAAATTTGGTATAAAAACGTAGTTAATAAACCAAATTTCAAAAACAAATATTGAAGTAAATTCTCAATATCCCCTTGTGTGTGTATCATGACATTTGTTCACTCCGATATATCCATTTTCTACTTTTTTCTTCACCCATTTCTGATGTCCCAAGTTTAACATAAGTTACTTGTTATAGAATAGATCTTACCAGCACTCCAGATAATGTTTTTCTCTGAGGAGTAATCACTCCCAGAATTCTATAATTGAGAGTAATTTTAATTTTTTTTTACAAAGTGTAGCAGTAACATTTTGTGACAAAAAAATTAACTAATTATGAATTTTTCAAAATGTTAAATTTGACATAAGATTAATTTACCAAATTAATTCATAATAAATACAAATAATGACATTACAACTTTTTTATTTTATTTTTTTTTTTTATTACAAAATTGGATCATTTAGGAGTGCACCAATAAAATCTTCTAGTGGTTAGAGGGTACTTATTTTTGTAGCTGCATAGATCTTGTGTAAAACTGCAGAATGCTATAAGAATGTGTCCATTAATTACCGTACAGCCGTTAAAGTGGCAGGAGCCTTATTAATTTTTCTATGGCAGTAAAACAACTTCTCAATAACTTTTAAGACTGTAAATGACTTATTTCTTGATCGGGAATTATGCTGCTATGCTCATTATCTGGAGCACTGTATTACTAGGGCATAGTCTAATTTTTATAGCCTTCAATGATCTTTGTTTATGGAAATATAAACCAGAAAGTCAGGCCCACTTGCCACACTTACCTATCATATTCTCTCTTTCATAAGTTACCAACAATTCTCTCTGATGTTTTCTATTATAACAGTATTAATTTACTGAATGGCATATAATGCTACATTGTTCTCAGTAGAAATTTTTAGGTGTTTTAACCTACAGGTTGAAAGTTTCTGCAGCAAGTTAAGCTCAAATAGTTAACTCTCAGGTTGTGGACTCCGTCTATTCGAAAGAGTTTGTGACCCCCAAACTGAACTTTAGTTTCCATTTTATAATTTCTAATATGTATTTTGTATCTTCACAAAATTTTGCAAGATTTCAATAAACATTACAAGTCTTTTGTAAACAAAAAATCAGAATCTTTAATGAAGTATTTTTACTAAACATTTCTCCATCAATATATGGCATCAAAGTGCTAACTGCTCTGAGTGCAGTTAAGATTAAAAATACTTTTCTTCATCTGAAATTTGTCAAATTTCATTTGCGTAATCTCTAAAACCTCCTAACTAACATACAAAAAAAAATTTTTCTTAAAAATTTGTATTCTATTAGATATTTTCTCTACCCTAAATCTATAGGGGTTGGTTAATTTGACAGACCTCATAACCACCATAAAAAACAAATCTAAATTATGTTTTTTCTTTCTTTCTAGAATAATACTATACAACTGTTTCTACTTGAATTTTATTGTTTTATTGCCCTTTAAATTGTGTTCAAATAACAATCCCACCACACTTTGTAAATCACTTGACAAACTTGTAGCTCATGTTACCCTATCAAACTACTAATGCATGAGCTACTCATGGGCATAATTCATGAAAAGTTTTTATTATCATCATTTTTTTTATCTTACCTAATCTAACCTTACCTAACTTAGTATGTTTCTAGTTGTACATTTTAGTTACTTTTATAATAACAAATAAAAAATACCCAGGAAAAACAAGAAATATAGTACTTACACTAGTCTTTATTTTTTTTTGCTGTTGACTGATGATGAAATTTAATGCTACTTTTTATACTAATGGTACTGCTGCATACGTTTTTTATTTAATTAAGTAATGCATATAAGAACACAGGATATTATAATGCAAAAAGCAGACTATGTCCTAAACTATCAATTTTTCTGGCTTTCTAATTGTGATAAGAGCCATTAAAAATTCAGCTAAGCTCCTCAATGTGTCTCCTGTAGGAATAGATAATTCTCTGTACAGAAAAGTATATTATAGTATAAAAAATCAGAGAACTATTGGCAATTTAGGAGAGAGATGGACAAGGCAAGAGGGTTCGATTTTCTAGTTTATGGCTTTGTAACCAAATAAGATTGAAGGCTATAAAAATTACGCTTTGTCTGAGCAATAACTATATTATAATGAGTACCTTAAGTTAAATTCCTTTCATCTCAGAGGGGTGGTAAATAAGTTAGAGAAGAGGGAAGACCTATATAGCAAATGTCACAATTCTCACACTAAGGGAAATTGATGATTTTGTTAAAATATTTTCTTAAAAAATTAAGAATTTAAAACTTGTATATTAAAATTTGATTTATTAGCTACATTTTGGTGCTAAGTTTATTAATACACCATGATAATAAAGTACTTTAATTAAATTTTGAATGTAACTCAGTAAGATCTTGGGACATCCACAAAAAAGGGTATACATATGGAAAGACTTAAAGGAATTATTCTATGACACTTATGCCTTAGTTTATAAAGCCATTTAAATTATAAATGGTAGGACATTGTTAATTTGGGTGTGTTATATTTTTGTGATTTTGCATATTTTAAATAAAATTACTTAATGTTCAAGTAGTATCATTACAAAAAAGTAAGGGCTTAGTTGGGCCAACACCAGAAAAACAAAGGCCAAATGTAAGTACTCTGACTCCACATATCAATGAAAAAATCTTAAGTAAAAATAAGATTTTTTGCATACAAAATACTTGTAATGTTTACTGAAAGTTTGCTAAATTTTATAATAAAGATATACCGAACGTATTAAAAGTCATATTATGGAAACCATGATGGCTACTTTGTGGTTACAAAATCAGTCACATCGACCAAACCCACATGGAAAGTTAATTAAGACCCCCCCAGTCACACAA